CACGAAGTGACATTCGAAACGCGCCCCGCAGCGCCGCTGCTAGCATTTGCCGCCAGCGCGCTCGCTGCGCCGCACGCGCCGCTGCTGCTCGCGGCGGCGCAGCGCGCGGGCGAATGCGCAACGTTCGCGGCATTCGTGCTACTTGTGCATCGCGCGAGCGTGCCCTACGTGCTCTTTCTAGAGCCCGCAGACGGCGCGCAGTCTGTGGGACTACCTGCGCTGCTGCTAGCGCGCGGCGAGTCTGCGGCGGATGCCTGTATGCGCAATTTACTAAGCAACGGTCCCGCAGTTGCGGCCCCGCAATTTTTGGGCGCACTTTGGCAGAAGCATTACGGCGGCGCATTCTGCGCCACATTGCCTCCGCACTGCGGCAGTCCCGCGCTACGCATAGAGTTTTTCGCGCTACGCCTCACGCAGCCCGCCGTGCTCCAACTGCCTGAGCGCGCGACACTACGCGCGGTGCCGCTCTATCATCTCGAGCAGCTCGCGCCCGAGTTTGCCGCAGTTGCCGCGCTGCTGAGTCGCTTCGAGCTGTTGCTTGCGCAGTAGAGCCGCTTGCAATATTTTAATCGTAATTCATGAGCAACCGAAAGAGGGTGGACGTGGCGCTCGAGGCAGTCGACACCTGCGTTACAGGGCGTGTGCGAACTGCCAGCTATCGAAGCAACGTGCGCTTGCCGCACTACGAGAGCTGCGCTCGCCCGGGAATGCGCGAAGGCGCGAGCTTCCTGACGTACAAAAACACGCTGTTCTTGTTCGGCGGCGACGCGGACGTTAACGACAATGAAACGAGTTTTGACGAGCTGCTAATCGCGAAACTTACGGAACCCGGTACTTGGCGGCGACTCTGCGTAAACTTCGGGCCTTGTCCGCGCGCCGCGCACGCCTGGACGATCGCGGACAACAAGCTTTTCGTGTTTGGTGGCGAGCGAACGGAAAAAGACGTCTCTCAGTATTTGCGCGATCTATGGAGCTTCGACTTTAACACGCTCACTTGGGAGTACATCAAGCTGCTCGGCAACCGCCCGCAGCCGTGCGCTGGCGCGCGGCTAGTTGCGGTCCGCGGCTTCCTGGTGCTCTTCGGCGGCTACGCTGAGAACGCGCACAGCTTGTTGCACTTCGATAAACTTTTTATAATCAACCGACGCGACGGCTTTTGCACCGCGGTAGAAAACGAAAAGCGCGCACGCTGTCCTGGCGAGCGCAGCGGGTTTATGATGCTCGCGAACGGCGACTCGGTGTTTGTCGCAGCCGGGTTCAGGATCAAACAACAAAAAAATGACAACTTGCAGGGCTTAGCGCTCTCAGACTGCTGGGTGCTAGATCTCGCACCGCACCTCGCGGCACCGCAGCTCCCCAACAAGCTGAAGCTGCCCGCGGGCACCTGGCGTAAGCTGAAACTTCAGCTGCCTACGCGCGTAGCGTTCGGTTTTTGCGCGGTCGCCGATTCCGCGTACTATTTTGGCGGCGTCGCAGACATCGATTTTGGCGGCACCTCGACGCGGACCACGCTGTTTTTCAACCACTTGTATGAGGTGAACTTCAGCACCGAAAAGATCTTGCTGCACTCCGGCACACGCGGACCTACTGGCGAACTAGCGTTCATATGCCGAAAAGATCGCATCGTGCCGGTGCGCCTGCAGAACGAAGTATTTGAGCAGCTGCTCAACTCAATCGCGCAGGGGAACCGCGACGTCAGCGCTGCGACGCTCGGCTTGCAGAACCCGCTCAACGAGGTCGACGACCTGGTCGGTCTCGCGCTGGCGGAGCGCCCGTTGCCGCGACGCAGCGCTCTACTCACGCACCGCAACAAAGCGCTTTACTTGTACGGCGGCGTGATCGAGACCGAGTCGGAGTTCATCGCACTCGACGACCTTTGGAAGTTTTCCCTCGCGAAGAACACATGGGAACAATTGTTGCCACCGAGCAACGCAGACAAGCTGCCACCGTTTGAGCAGCGCACAACGCCCTCGCTCAACTCCGAGTCTGTATTGCAAGCTAGCGGCAGTAAGCCGTGGTACGCGATGACGGACAGTAATGACAGCGCATCCGAGCAGTAATGGAGCAATAGACGCTCAGCTCTCTCGCGCTACTCAATGGAAGATTATTTGGAGGCGAGCACTAGCCTTTAGGCACTAGCCTTTAGGCACTAGCCTTTAGGCACTAGCCTTTAGGCACTATTCGCTGGGTTGCAATCGGTAGGCTCCAGTCGGTGGAGAGTGGTCGTTAAGTTCCAGAAGAAGCGCTCTGCCTGCTCTGCGCAAAACTGATCGGCGCGGCGACTTCCGGCGTGTCTTCGCGTGGAGGACAATCTGCTGCTGCTGCAGCTGGCTCGGCGCACTGTCGAGCGGCGTGCGCAAGCTTGATTGCGTTTATTTGTTGCTTGACCGTCTCGACATAGCCTTCGTAGTTTTGTTTATACTCTAGGTATGGCTTAGTTTGCGCCGGCGAGGCGATGTTAGGGTGCTCCATCAAGTCTTGAATACCAAGCAAAATTTGTTTGACAGTAATCGAAGGTTTCCAATCGTCGTCTTCGCTCAAAATCGACAAACACACTGTGCCGCTCGGGTACACGTTCGGGTGGAATAAGACAGTGCTGAATTTACATTTAGGGGGTTTAGAAGGGTAGTCAGAATGAAAAGTCATGCAAAGTTCATAGCAAGCACCCTCCCACAGCCCGCCGGACCGCCCAGGAATTTCGCAGATCCATTCAAACAGGTTCGGTTTGCCGTTCGGCAGCTTCGCGAGCTGCACAGTGAAGCCAGGCAGTGGGTGGTTTTTCAAGTCGATCCGCTCGAGTGTGAGCCGCTTCGCTGCAAAAGAAGACATTATTGAAATTATTCAGGAAAAAAGCGAATACACGCCGCGGCTAAGCAGAGACCGTCTCGGACGCCTTGCGCAGGCGAGCCGTAGTCGAAAGACACATTGAAGCCGCCGTAGTGCCGAACACCCAAGCGCCGCCAGCCATGGTCTTGTTACAGCCCTTGCACTTCCAAATTCCTACCGCCTGCCGTTTGACTGTGTTTTTTCCGCAGAATGCGCAGGCGTATTTCGCGTGCGCAGTCGCGAGAAACTTCTTTGCCATTTTTCGCAAAGAGGCGCCGTAGCGCACGCCGTAGCGACCTGCAATCCCAACCTTCTTCGTGCGTCGTGACATTTACGCAGCTAAAATCAATATTTAAGACAAAAAGCTCGTTACTCAGAAAAGGTCGCAAAGTGCGCCTCGCAGCACGCAGCAAAGCTCGCAAGCGCCGGCTTCGACAGCTCTGTAGCATCGCCCGCCGCGTGCGCCCACGCGGCGTGCGCATCACGCGCCTCCGCGCTCGTGAACGCGCGATCGGGGCACAATGCGCAGATCGGCTCCGCGAGTGCGGTGCCGTCCGCAGGGTCCAGCGCTGCGAGCAACGAGACTGAGGTGACGATTGCGCCGCATCTGCGCCCGCACAGCCACAACCTACCGCAAACAGCTTTCTCGTGCGCCGCAAACTTCGCACATACGGTGCAGACACGGCTCGAGCCGGTAGCGCGTGAGACAGAGCCGGCCGCACGCGGCGCACCCGCTTCGCGCCACATGCTCGGCCGCTAGCCGCTCAACGTGCGTCATTGCGCGAAAGCGAGCCAACGAATCAAATAATAAAATTAATAACGGGCCGCGCCAACGAAGTGAGCGCGCCGCAGACGCAATCCGCACGTAGCCGCGCAACGGACGCAACCGCGACGGAAATGTAATGAAGTGTCGACTCAAAGCATGCATGCAAAAAGTGGCCGTCGGCGAAAGCGGAGCTTTCGCTGCCGCCGGCTGCTCGGCTTCGCATCACTTCGAAGCTAGTCATGTCTTGCGAGCACAAAGAGCGCATTGCCAAGTGCCGTTGATATTATGCCTTACCGAATCCAAGCCACAGTACCGGCACCGATACCGGGCGTGAGATGAAGCGATAAAAGACCGTCCAAGCTTGCGGAGTGATGCGCCGTATCGGATTCCTGACCGGCCCGCAATTCCTTGCCTTCTGCTAAACAACTTCATCTCAAAAGCACAACCCGACAGCTTACATTAAAATTTAGAAATTAATTAAGCATTGCGCTAACAAGCGACCCAGTTTTCCGCGTCCAGTTTCCTTGGTTACAATGCGTCGACTTTGTCCGCAGTCGTGTCCGGCAAAGTATAGGATTTTGCGGAACGCGTTGCTGTGGAGTGCCGCTGCTTCTGCTGCCAGCTGCGCATCAAACTTCGCTTTCGAAGACGATGACGCGAGTCCTGCAGAGAAAACCTCAGACTCTGCTAAGAAGTCGCAAGAGGACAAAGAATCCGAAGCAGACTTCGCGTTAGAAACGTGGAAGCCTGAAGGGGAGTCTTCGCTATTCGCGCTGAGCAAGCCGAAGGATGACAAACCGCCGACCTCGCTAATGGACCTGATCGACGACGAGGACGCTAAGCCCAAATTGTATGACTATTCCGCATTACTCAACAAATCTAAAAAACGCAAGGAGGTGCTCAAGAAAACGCTTGGCGAAGACGAAAGTGGCTCGAGGAGTGCAGACACAGACTATTTTAAGGGCCTCGACGGCTTCGAAGGCGAAAACAAGAAAGTACGGAGGTTCAAACAGAAGCTCCGCAATCCTTTTGGGCGCTCGCGATCAAAGAAAACGCAACGTTTTGTCGCAAAAGAAGCAGAGGCCGCACGTGACGAGCTGACGGGCAACAGCGCCAGGACGAAACCCGCGGAACTGTGCACCATCACGACGTTGCTCGACTGCTCGCCATCGAGCGTACAGTACCTAGCGCAGAACCAGTTTTTGTGCCCTAGAACGTCCGCGAATTCCACATCGAACGCGGCTGGCAGTTCTACGTTACACCTGGACCCGCTGCTGGCGCGTTTTGCCAGCACTGAGTACAACCACGCTGCTGAGTTGCGTGCGCGTCTGGCACACAGCCTGATTTTGTAATTTGATTTCCGCAAATGCGTGCTTTTTATTTCCTTGCAATCCTACAAGCTATTGCAGCGATGGTGTTGCCCGGCGAAACCGCTCCGAATTTTCAGGCTAACGCCGTAATGCCAAACAACGAAGTCAAACAGTTGGACTTCCACCAATCCGCAAAGGGCGCTTACTCAGTGCTGTTCTTTTGGCCGTTCGACTTCACGTTCGTGTGTCCCACCGAGATCATAGCGTTCAACGAGGCGCTCGCCGAGTTCGAGAAGCGCGGCGTGAAGGTCTTCGGCTGCTCAATCGACTCGGTTTTCGTGCATTCCGCCTGGAAAGCGACGCCTCCGAACAAAGGCGGCGTTGGCGATGTGCAGTTCCCGATGATTTCGGACGTCTCGCACGAAATCATGCACGCGTACGGCTGCGTGAACCGCGCGGAGCACACTGCGTTCCGCGGGCTTTTTGTGATGGACCGAGAGCTAGTCGTGCGCCACGCGCTCGTGAACGACGCGCCACTAGGTCGCAGTGTCCCGGAGGTGCTGCGCATCATCGACGCGCTGCAGCACCACGAGAAGCACGGTGAAGTCTGCCCCGCCAACTGGAAGCGCGGCGAGCGCGCGATGAAGCCGAGTGCGCAAGGTGTAGCTAATTATTTAAGCGAGCTCGCGAAGCCATAATTCTTTTTACTGCATGCATCCAGTCTAGCTTGCCGGCGGCGCTCATACGATGGAAAACGCCAGCAACAAACTGAATCTCCTCGTGTCCTCGCTAGAGACGCCCGAGGAACCGGCGCCCGGCTCGCAGCCGCACTGTCGAACGACGCAGACGTTAAGCTCTCAAGCCTCTTTCTGCTCGGACGTCGGAAACCGGTTTCTGTCGAGCGAAAGCAACATCGCGGACCTCAGCGAGGCGCACATGGGCCTGTTCGGCGTGTTGCCGAAACTCGCGCACACCGAGAGCCGAATCCCGTCAATCGAACTAATGCTCGACGTGCCCTACCTGCGTGCGACGATCATCACGCAGAACGACGCGCCGTGCCTGCGCGAGTTCGAAGCAATTCTCCGAATGAAAGACGAAACGCTGAAGCTGCGCGAACTCGTGCGCTTCGGCGCCGCGTTCCGCGAGCGCTTCCTCTGCGGAAACGACGTCGCCGACCCCGCGGCGCTGCGCGAGCTCGCAGCGCTGCTCACACTGTACCTGCGGCAGAAACTCACAAAGTTCGTCGAACTGAAGCGCGCGGTATCGAGCGCGAGCGACGTGCCGCCGTTCGGGTGCAGCCGCAGCTATTCAAACCTCTCTGCGCTGCCGCGCAGCAACTCGCTGCTCGCCAACGAGCCGCCGCTCTCGCACTGCACCAGTTACTCGAGTTTCGTGAAAAGCGCAGGAAACGTCCCGCAGGTGTCGCTAATGCTCTGGGGGTTCGTGAGTGCCAGCCTGCGCGTGCTCTGCGCCGTCTACCAGAGCGACGCGCTGCCCGCCGCAGAGTTCTCGTCGGAGCTTGCAGCGCTCCTAGCGGCGCAGCTGGATAGCGCGGTCGTCGCGCGGAACATGCTGTTTTCGGGCGAATTCTCCGAAGACGTTGCGCACGAAGTACGCAACGCGCTGCCGAAGTACCTGCTCCGCTACTTCGGGCTGGTGCTCGTGCAAAGCCGGCGCGGCGCGGCGCTGCCCAGCCTCGACTGGCTCGCCTGCTGCGACTTTCTGCTGCAACTCTCGGCTGCGCACCGCTTGGACGAGTACCTGCGCTTCTTGACAGACGTACTCGCTCTGCCGCGCGCGAGCTTCGACGCCACGAGCCACGGCGCGCTGTGCGCGAGCGCGGAGCGGTTGCCCGCGGCAGAACCGCGCCAGCCAAAGCCGTCGCTGGAGCTGCAGCCAAGTTGCGAGCCGTCCTCGGGCTTCGCTCAACTCGTGAACGACACGCTCTTCCTCTACTGCGACCGTTGCGCGAAGCTCGCTGCCGCGCCGCAGGACGCCGCGCTGCAACGACTCGTTGCGCGCGCGCTATGCTTCACCGACGGCGAGGTCGTTGAGCCGCTGCTCTTCGAAGACGCGGCGACCGTCAGCGTGGAGAGCCAGTTCGCCGAAAAGTTCGCGCTGCTCTTGCGCGTGTTCGACGCATTGCTCAGCGCGCCGGCCGCAGACAGCGCGGCTGACAACGAGGAAGCGCGCGAGCGCGCTGCAGCGCAGAGCGCGCTGCGCGAGGCGTTTGCGCGCAAGCACCTCGAGCGGAAGCTCGGCGCACTCGCGACAGAGGCGCTGCACTGTTTGAACGCCTGCAGCTGCGCAGAGGAGGCTGCAGGGCTCAGCGTCTCGCTGCCTGGCCGCGAGTCCTTTGCGTCTCTGCGCGTGGCCGCAGTCGCGGAGCCGACGCTCGCGCTACTCACGCAGCTCTGCGCAGACCGCTCGCAGCCTTTCGCGACCGAGGACGATCTGATGCTACTGCAACTCTGCGCGGGCTATCTGCGGCACACAGCGCCCACGGCGGCTGCCGAGTCGGAGCAACCGCTACGCGCGGCCGCGCAATTGCTGCGCCCGCGCACCACGCTGATGCTGATCGCGGCGCTTCTTGAGCGCGCGCCAGAACTCGCCGCGGGACTGCCTCCGCGTTTCGCAGAAACCGTGCTCGCGTTCAAAAAAGTACTCGCGGCGGACCCCGGCTGCGAGCTGGCCGCCGCGCTCGTCTTCGGGCTGCTTGCGCGCCGCGGCGCGCCGGCTAGTTCTGGTTCTTCATCATGATCGAGTAAAAGTCTTCAAATGTAATTTCGCCGCGACCCGTCGAGTCCGCGCGGTCGATCAGCTCGCGCAGTTCCTCGTCGCTCACGTTCTCGCCAATCTCCTGCGCCGCGCGCTTCAGTTTCTCGAAGCTGATCGCGCCGCTGCGGTCGTCGTCGAACAGCGCGAACATCTTGCGAATGCCCTCGCGCGAGCTGCGGCTGCCGAGATTCAAACAAATGCCCTCCAAAAACGTTTCAAAGTCGATGTCTCCTTCGTAGCGCGTTTCCAAGTCCGCGATGATGCGGTGCAGCGCTGGGCACTTCGTTTCGAAGTCGAGGTTCTGCATCGACACTCGTAGGTTTCGCGGGTTGATCTTTCCAGACTTCGTCGTGTCAAACAGCGCAAACGCGTCGCGCAGCTCGTCGATCTCTTCGAGCTTCAAAAAGCTTTCCGGCTGCTTGTGCATCGCGCCGAATTTTCGCGATTTATCCACTATTTTGATCAGCCAAATTGGCTATTTTTGCCGCGGAAAATGCTCACGGGAACCGTCAGCGACTTGGCGAAGGCCATGCGGCGCGTGCTGAAAAAGCCGTCCAGAGTAGGTCGCCCCGGCGCAGCCGCAGTTTTTCTACAACGTCGCGATCACCGGCTCGGGGATCGCGCTTGCGTTCGCATTCTACGAGGCACTCGTGCTGTTCGCGGGCTGCGACTACCCGGTGGTCGTGGTGCTCAGCGGCTCGATGGAACCTGCGGTGTACCGCGGCGACCTGCTGCTGCTGCGCAGCGCGGATAACGTGCGCGTCGGCGACGTCGTCGTGTTTAGCCAAAACACGCAGGCCATCCCGATTGTGCACCGCGTCCACGCGGTGCACGAGGCGCCCGACGGCGCGACCAAGTTTTTGACCAAGGGCGACAACAACAACCTAAACGACCGCGGGCTCTATCTAGACCGCAAACTGTGGATCGAGAAACAGGACCTCATTGGCAAGGCATATGGCATTGTGCCGAGCATCGGCATGCCAACCATTTGGTTCAATGAGATTCCTGCGTAAGTTATGGAAATGTGCACGCAGTCTGAAGCCGCTGTTCTTCACGTGCTTGCTGATCGGCGTAATGACTGGCCGCGAAATATAATTCGCAAATTTCTATTGTTTTCGAATATCAGTACCGCATGGCGCTGCGTAAGTTTGCCACGCGTCGCCGCAGGCGTCCGTCACGAGTCTAGCTCGGAAATCGGAGTGTACGGCCTACTGACCAACAGCTACTGCCTTGTCGCGCAAGGGCCCAACGAGAACTTCTATAGCGTATTCGAAGCGGAACTCGGCGCGGCGATGCCGATCACCAAAACGCTCATCAACGGCACCTGCTGCATCGGCAGCTGCTGCGTCGGCAACCGCTACGGGCTGCTCGTGCCGGACACGATCAGCGACCAAGAGTACCTGAACATCCGGAACGCGCTGCCCGACGAGATCGTCGTGAAGAAAGTCACCGACCGCCTCAACGCGTTCGGCAATACCATCTCCTGCAACGACTACGTCGCGCTCTGCCACATGGAGCTCGACAAAGAGACGCTCGAGATACTCGAAGACGTGCTGCAGGTCGAGGCGTTCAAAGAAAGCATCGGCGCCGAGCAACTCGTCGGCCAGTACTGCAAGTTCAACAACATCGGCGGCGTGGTAACGCCGAAAGCCAGCGACGCGCAGCTCGAGTCGCTGAGCCAGCTGCTCGAGATCCCACTGACGCGCGGGACGGTCAACCAAGGCTCCGACAAACTCGCGTCGAGCATTCTCGTGAACGACTTTGCGCTTTTCGTCGGAGCCGACTCGCTCTTCGCAGAAGTCCGCACGCTCGAAAACATCTTCGTGCTCAAGGAAACGCAAGCGTACGAAGTCTAGCGTCCATCGTCGTTCCGCGATTTTCCAATTCTGGATATTCTAATTCACAGTCCGCCGAGCGCCTGCGTGCCCTCGCTGCTGCGCAAACTTCTCCTCGCTTCGCAGACGTCTCCGCTTGCCTTCCAATGACGTCCGACCTCGGCGAGCTGTTCGTCACGCTCGACGAAGACCTGCACTACGCGTCGCAGTACGCCGAAGCAGACGGCACTGTCGTGAGGATGCTTCAGGCGCTCTCGACGCGCGCCGCGTCCGCGGCCACGCGCGCACGCGCCGCCGCTCCCGCCGCGGACGCCGATAGCTCCGAGTCTGACTTCGACGCGGACGAACTGCGCCTCGCTGCGGACGCGCAGACCGCGGGCACGCTCGTGCCGGACGGCGGCGCCGACGCGCTGCTCAGCGATTACGCGCGCATTGCGGCCGCCAACAAAAACGCTTTTCCAGCCTTCGTGCCGCCCTCGCTGCTCAAGCTGTTGGGCCGCGTGGTGCAGAGCGTCGACGATCTCTTTATCGTGCTGCCCAGCCGCCGCGACGAGCTTTTCGACCTCTCAAACGGGCTCTACAGCGCCGACGCCGCTCTCGTCGGCTTCATCGTCGACCTCGTCGGAAACGTCGAGGCGCCCAGCTACGTCTGCCAGCTAGCTGGCGAGCGCTCCGTGTCTGTCGCCGACGAGGTGTTCCTGCAGATCGGATCCCAGCCCTTCCGCGGCGGCGTCGCCGCCGACGACTCCAGCGACGCAGACAGCGAAGTTTGCGTCTGATGCATCGAGCGCACTAGCTCCTTTTCTCACTGCTCATACGCCGCAGTCCGCTTTTTGCGACTGCAGGACGTTTCCGTACTTTTCCCGCAAACGTCAGAGCTCAGCCTCTATCCATCTGCAGCCTCATTGCTAAAGCACATGTCCGCGGCCGCCTCCACGTTCCAGTTGCACTTTTCCAAGTAGTAGCGCGCCTGTTGCGCCGAAACGCCGAGGTCGCACAGCAACTTCACCTATTTCTGCGTAGCGCGCACCTACCATTTTGTTGGACGGCCAGTCCTTCTCTTGTGCGTGCTTCTTCACCCAGTGCTTCGTTGTTTCCACAAACTGCGGGTAGTCCTCCAAGTAGACCTTCGCCACCTGCGCGTCCTGCGGGTCCGTTGGCTCCGGCGCGCTCAGCAGTGCGATCAGCGAGAGCAGCACCGTGCGAATGTTTTGCGCCGGAGACCACTGGCTGTCTAAAATGTCCAAACAGATGGCGCCCGTTTGCGAAGAGATGTTTGGGTGGTAGATATGAGTCGTGAACCGCACCTGCGTCCGCGCGGCGGCAACCTACCTTAGGTGGACTGTACGGATACTCCGGCGGAATCCGAATGTCCAAAAAGAAGTATCCGCCTTCGTACGGCGTGCCCTCCGGGCCTTTAATGCGGCCGATCCAGTGATCAATGCTGTTGTCCAGCAAAATAGCGCTTACCTCTGGATTTTCGTCGATGTTCACCTCCGTTTCAAAGTCCCGCAGCTCCTACCAATGCGCGCCGCGTGCACTTACTTTCGCCAACCGTTTGTCATGCGTCGCCATGGCTGCGCGGGCCGTCTGCTTTTTTACACGCAATTAGCTAAAATTATTTCGATTTCGCCTGCGCTTGCGCCTCGACGCGCAGTTCCTTAGCATTTAACACGGTGAAATTTATTTGGCGCGCAACCAATCATGTTCGATAATTGAGCAATATGTTTGTCGGCGACGTCGCGCAAAAAGTCGCGGTCGCGTTCGCGGTCACCGCGGCTGCGGAGTCCTTTGAAGATTTTCAGCAGCGCTTCGTGGCGCAAGGACTGCCGCAGATGCCGCTGGTCGCGAACCTGTACGGCTCGATATTCAGGACTGCTTACTACTTCGCGCAGTTCGAGCTCGGCGCTCCCGAGACGCAGAGCCATTCGCTCATTATCGACACAGGCTCAAGCACGCAGGGCCTCGTGTGCGACACCTGCCACAACTGCGGGCAGAACCACTGGGAAGAGCCCTACCAGACGCACATCTCGCAGTTCTTGACGAAGGAGCCGTGCAGCGGCTGCACTTTGTGCAGGTTCAACCCGAACATTGACGCGCTAAAACAACTGAAGCCCGAAGCGCTACAGCGCAACGTACAGAGCAAATTGTTCCACGACACCGTGACGGAGTCGCTGCGCAACGACGCGAACTTGCTACAGTGCTTCTACGACGTGCACTACGCAGAGGGCAGCCGCATTTCCGGGCTGTTTTTCCGCGACGTGCTCTGGTTGAACGCCAACTACGGCGGCGCGGCGCCGCTGCCCTTGCCGCTCGACACCTTGAGCTGCCCGAGGTACCCAAACCGTTTCGGGCCGCCGATGCCGTTGTTGATGAACCTCGGCTGCCACACGCGAGAAACGCACCTGTTCCAGTACCAAAAAGCCTCTGGCATTCTGGGCATGGAATTCTGGACGGACCAGGGCGTCGACTCGTTCCCGACGAAGCTGCTGCGCCAGTTACGCGAATTGTACGAGACGCACGTCGTGCTGGACCCGCCGAGCCACTGCCCTGGCGCGCAGCCGGAGCAGCCGTTTCGCTTCGCGTTCGGCCTCTGCTTCGCGCAGAACGGAGGGACGATCAGTTTCGGCGGGCCGCAGCGCCACCTGTATCTCGCGGACTCGCAGACCGTGCAGCTGCCAGTGCTCGCAAAACCGGGCGACGCGCTGTCGTACACCGCCGGGCTCGAAAGCATGGACGTCTTGCTGAGCGGCAGAGTGCCGGTAGACATCAAACAGAACGCGCAGACGCAACTGTTGCGGCAGAAAAAGAATTGGAAGAGTATCGACCTGCCGCTCCGCGCGTACGCCAAGGACACGGGGAGAGGCAACGCGAAGTTGCGGATGGTCATCCCGGTGCTGTTCGACAGCGGCACGACGCTGTCGTACTTTCCGCGCAGCGTGTTCCATGAACTGCTGCACGCGATCGAGACGCGCGTGAGCGCGAACCGCGACCGGCTGCGGAATTTGTCGAACCAGGGCGGCGCGGCGGCGCCGGAGTACCGCATCCGCGCAGACCGGCTGTTCGCGACAGACGAAGGCCCCGCGCTAATCCGCGAGCGGTTCATGACGCGGCGCGAGCGCAAAGAGCTGACGCGCTTGCAGTTCATTCCGATCGTGAGCAGCGTGCGCTCGGACACGCCGAAGCGGCTCGTGAAGCTTAGCCAGGTGCCGGTGAGCCTCTACAAAAACCGACAACTCAGCGAGCAAATTGAGACGCAAATCAGCAACCGGGGTGCGACGTCGCGGCGCGTGCTCGGCGAGGCAATGTCGAGCTGGTACGCGGTGATTGAGCCGGGCGAGCACGGCGAGGGCGCGGCGGGCGAGCCGGAGGCGGATACGAGCAGCCTGCTGGGCTTCGTGGACATTCCGAAGTACATGGAGCCCGCGACGCCCCGCGTGCTCGGTGAGAAGGGTGAGAATTTCGAGAACGGCGAGTGCTGGTGGTTTCAGAACCGCGCAGAAGACGTGGAGCTGTTCCCGATCTTGCGGTTCAAGTTCTTCGGCGCGGACCAGCCAATAGTGTGGCACCCGCTGAACTACTTGTACAGCGGGAAACACAGCCACTTTTGGTGCCTGGCGTTCATGACGGACGCGTCGGACGTGGCGCCCGAGGAGACCGCGGAGGTCATTTTCGGCTCGAACTCATTCATGTTTAAAGAGACGCTGTTCGCTGCGGCGCCAGAAACGGACATGAAGGCGACCTACGCGGCGGCGGACCCGACGGTGTCGAGCAACGTTTACAAAGTGCAGCCAGAGTTTACGATAGCCATTACAGAAGCCGACTGCCCGAATAACTATTATTCAAAATAACAGGCGGCATGGACAACGCGGGTGCGGAGTCGGCGCTGCAGCCGGAGTTTCTGGCGGAGCACGAATTTATGCACGGCGCGGACAGCCAGATGGTGTACGTGATGCCGTACGATAACTTCGCGATTTTGCACAACGAAGCTTTGCTGCACAAAATTCAGCGCAGCCTCTCGAGCAGCGCATCGATCGAGCGAGAAGTCGTATACGTGTGTCAGACGCAGCATAGCGCCGAGGCACTGGACACGCACCGCGTGCTGCGCGAGTTTGAGGCGTTCATGCGCGGAGAAGCTGGAGAGCTGCAGTTTACAAAACAAAGTTTCATTTTGAAGAACGAGTGCGCGTCGGTGCTCGGAAAGTCAATCAGCGCGCGCTACTTCCTGCATCTTTACAATGACGGCAACTTTGCGCTGGTGAACGTGCCGCGCGGCGCGTGGTAGTCCGTTCGGCGCGCTGCCGCGTTCGGGCCAGCTTGCGCCGCTTTTGCGAGCGCTTTCGTGAGCGCTTTTGCGAGCGTTTTCGCGAGTGCTTTCGTGAGCGCTTTCGTGAGCGCTTTCGTGAGCGCTTTCGTGAGCGCTTTCGTGATCGCTTTTGCGAGCGTTTTCGCGAGTGCTTTCGTGAGCGCTTTTGCGAGCGTTTTCGCGAGCGTTTTCGCGAGCGCTTTCGCTAGCCGTGCTCGCCTTTGGACAGCGCGGGCTCGTTCAACTCGAGTTGCATAGCAGCGCGCACTTGGCGGCGCTTTTCGAGAAATTCGCGCGCGAGCTCCGGGAACGGCGCAGCCGCGGCGAGCGCCTCGCAAAACTGAGCGCAGTCAAACACGCGCAGGTCCGTTTTCGCGAGCGAGTGCTGCAACAGCTGCCCGAGCTCTTCGAGCGCAAAGCTCGTGGCGGCGCGCGAGACGCCTGCGGCGTCGCGCACTTTCAACGGAAAGTTCTCGAGCAGTGCGGCGCCTGCGATCGGCGTGGCGCGACT